AGTTTTCCAAACATCCCCAAATGGATAGATACGTGAGGATACTTCAAAAAGTTTGTGGAAAAATAGAACTGAAAGATAGTATGAATTTTCCATGAACTTTTGCTTGGATAATGGAGTGGAACATGCAATTATTGTGTTTCAGGCCTTCAACAGGTCTTGCCAAACTCCAAAATTTATTAAGTAACTATTGAATGGGCAGCAATTCTAAAAACAGAAAGAAGTCTCAACTTCCAGGCTTACAAGCTACTTAATTTTTCTCCCTCTTTTGTTTTTGTTTTTTGTCAACTTAGCTCTTTTATGACATATAACTTACTAGAAATTTCCTGTCGTTTCAAAGAAATTAGGGTCATAATGAAAAGAAAGAAAGTACAGGTATGTGGGTATTACTGTGCATTATTCTAACTATCCCACCTATGCCTTTTTAGCTCTAAGAGGGCCTCCAAACGTAAATGGGCTGGGGAGTTCTCATTAATAGAAATAGGAATGTCTGGAAGGCTCTAGTTTGCCGTAGGGAGATGTCAGGAGATTATTAATTGGCATATGCTTTTAAGTTCATTGAAAAGCAGAGTTAAATTTAGCCTAGTACATTAAACAGTTTGTTTTTATGTCAGGGGAATATGAAATTCTTTTTGCCATTTTCCTATTTCATGGGAGATTTGTTTTGTAATTGAATGAGTTGTAATATATTTATTTATCTTCCTATTTAAAATTGGTGAAAAATTTTTACATCTCTTGCCATTATTCATTGAAATGTGAAGATTTCCAAGGACAAATGAATATTTTTGCTTATATCTTGGTCTCATTTTATGGTTGTGTCTTGGTTATAAAAGCCATTTTCAACTGGTTTGCTCTTTATCAAGAAATAATATTTTTTTTGGATAGGAAGAGGAGAATTTGTTTTAACTCAATATACCTCCATTTCCTCTTGTATTTGTACATCATCTTTAACAGGATTTAAAATTATGTGTCTGTAGATTCCTACAGTGGTAGGAGTGAAATGAGGTAGTTAAGATTTTGAGCTTCTAGAGTCTGGGAAGTTTGAAGTCCTTTCTGTTTTCTTTGCAATGCTAGACTCTGGTTACTCAGTACATACATTTTGAATGCAGATTGATTTCCAAACTACATTGCAGTACCATGGAAATGAGAATACCCGTCAAAAGTCTGGGGTCCTCCATACCTCTCACCATATACCAAAATCAACTCAAAATGGATTAAGGATTTAAATATACACC